AATAACAAATCTCAGTAAGTGACTAATGGTTATAAATCCATTGGGTGGAAAATAGTGCCCAGGACTCATTATTTGGTGTTATGCTGTCCAGCCATCTTCTTTCCATTCCATCATTTAAATGTGCACAACATACACACATGAACTGAAGGAGGTATGTATGCACAGTAGATGTATAATGCACTAAAAAAGAAAAGGTATCATGAGCTCTCATGTATCCAGGAGAATTTTTAGTTTCCATCTGCAAGAAATCCAGTACTTCCCTTCTATAATACAGAGTGAGTTAACAAGATTCTGTTATCTTCTTCCTCTCTGCTGAGACACTTAGAAACTGGTGAAGAAGAGAAAGGTATTTCATCCTTAATAAGCCAAAGGTCTTGCTGACCAACAAAGTTAAGGTTCTTTTGAGCACAAAACATGAAAGTAACCCACGTCCTGCCCGGCCCATGTGGCTCAGTGGCTGAGCATCAATCTATGAACCAGGAGGTCATGGTTCAATTCCCGGTCAGGGCACATGCCTGGGTTGTGGGCTCGATCCCCATTGGGGGCTGTGCCGGAGGCAGCTGATTGATGATTCTCTCTCATCATTGATGTTTCTATCTCTCTCTCCCTCTCTCTTCCTCTCTGAAATCAATAAAAATATATTTAAATTTTTTTTAAGAAAGTAACACCAGTCCTGCAGCTGTGGCACCACATTGGGAAGGTTCTCTATGAAAACTTTGTAGCAGGAACTCAGCTCCCTGCCTGGCCAACTCTATGTGTTAGAGGAGTGGGGGGTTTTCACCTTTCTCCTCATCAGTAAAAGGAACCATGTAGCTGCCAGGCGCCAACATCCATCTGGAGGACTCCCTTTTTTGTCTGATCCGGCTGGTGCTTTGCCGCCTTCCGCTGCCACCCTGACTAGCCACCACTGAGCACTTTTCAATTCTATTAATTCCGAGATCCACTAACTTAACTGTGTCACAACTGTTATACTCCATCCTAATCTTACACCTCTGACTCAGTGCTTCTCACACAGTGAACGTGCATATGGGTCCCTGAGGGATCTCGCTAAAACACAGATTCTGACTCAGTAAGTTGGGGTGGAGGGGCAGGCCTGAGATTCTGCATTCTATCAATTTCCAAATTACACCAATGCTGTTTAGATCACATTTTTAGTAGCAAGTTTTCACTTATGTGCCTTAATTTTCATTCTCACTGGTTTTCAATGTTTTATTTTCAACACTTTTATCCATTATTTTTAAGTGTTTTTATGCTCATCTCTGGTTCAGAAACATTTGCCATTAGGAACGGGGGGCAGGGTAGATGAACCCATCTTCTGAGAAGTGCTGATGAAGGACTATTTCCCACAATCTATCTCAGATGGATATTTTATAAGATATGAGAAAAATAAATTATTACAAAAATAAAATAGCAGTCATACAAAATGCAAGCCCTTTTCTTATATGACATCAGTAGATATAATACTGCCTTGTCAAGTGCTATAAAGCATTCTGAGTGCTTACCCTCTGCTTTGGTGGTTATCTCCTTGCATATTGGTAATGACCAGTTCATGAACCACACTTGAAGAAAAAGTAATCTAGATGCAGTGAATTCTTTCTTTCAAATCTGTGTAAATTATGGGACAATGGAGTTTTTAAAAGTAAAAATATACTGATGACTCCCAATCTAGCCTTAAAAGCATCCTTAACTTCAGAATATGGATATAAATATAAATATGTAGATATATAAATATAGATGCAAATATATAAAGTTTTTCATATAGAAAATAATACAATAATTAATAAATAATAATACCAGAATAAACTGTGTCTATGTGTTCACAACTATAAATTTACTTTTGCCCCTTTATATATAGCCGATTCTCATAATATAGGTTGTTAATGTCCTAGAAAGTCAACACGACCACTGAGTTAGCAAATACTGAATCACTGCTGTAGGGAAAATACAGGGGTAGGTTCCTGTGAGCCTCTAGGTACAACATTTCAATCAACTCATCTATACATAACCTTGTTTTGTGTGTGTATATGTTTAAAGACACTTATTTAACCTATATTGTTGGTTCATTAACATTGAACTCATGGCCAATGCACTACGACTCGGGCCTGAACGAAGTTATCTAACACATGTGTTCTCTCCAGGAGGCACATCACAGGCTTCTTGCACTTGGGAATACTAGACAGCACTTCCACAGTACACTTGGCCATGTTAAAACAGCAACATCACCAACCAGAAGTACAGACATGCACAAGCTGCAGCGCTAAGAGGACCACAAAAGGACTATTGCTACAGTAGGAGAGCTGAAACAAGAGGCAGAGTGTTGTTGTGTTTAACTATTCCCGGGGACGCACACATGGCGTGCCTCATGATTTCACCATTCCACACATGTCTATGTATCGACCATGAAACAAATGCACTGAGAGTATTAATTTTGGGCTTACAAAATAAATTTTAATGAACAAGCTAATTTACAAATACAGAATCCACAAGTATTGACTCTGAGTGTGTGTGTGTGTGTGTGTGTGTGTGTGTGTGTGTGTGTGTGTTTGTCTGTGTGTCTGTGTTAGAACTGCCTGCTCAATATCTCCCTTTGGATGTTTAAAAGGACTCAACTTTTCTAGGTCTGAAACAAAGTTCTGATTGTCCCCACCAAATCTGTCTCCCATAGTTTTCCCTTCTCAGTAAATGACAACTTGCTGTTGCAATTACTGAAAACCATATACTTTCTTCCTCTCTCACTACCAATAAATCCAAAGTCTGACCATTTCTCACACACCCATGTAGTCCAAACACCATTCTTTCTTGCCTGTTTTGTTGTGATAATCTCTCCTATAGCCCATTCTCAATGAAGCAGACAGAATAAATTTTTTTAAAATGCTTTGCATTTTGTATTTCTAAAACCCTTCTTTTTGAATTGTAACATTTCTGAAATCAGGATGAGAATTATCTCTCTATATATATAAAAAGCTAAGCGACCATCTGACTGGTAGCTATGATGCACACTGACCAACAGGGGGCAGACGCTCAATGCAGGAGCTGCTGAGCTGTGGTGACTTGCAGCTGTGGTTCTCAGCTGATCCACCTGGAACCAGAGAGGAGGGAGCCCAATTCCGGGGTGCGTCACCTGAGAACCACCCTCTCGCAATCCAGGACCCCTCGGGGGATGTCAGAGAGCGGTTTGGCCCAATCCCCACAGGCAAGGCCAAGGGACCCCATTGGTGTGCAAATTCCATGCACTAGGCCTCTAGTTTATAAAAATAATATACATGTTTATGGCTTTTCTCCTCCCACTACAATACAAACTTTCTAAATCTGTGCCATGATTTCTAGAGTATTAAGAAAAGGTAGAACTCATTGACTTAAAACTATATTATTGGCTAATTTTGCAAGCTGTGTGCCTCCCCCTCTAGGCCCTGGGATCCTGGTATTTAGGAAATTTTGGAAAATCTAGTGTTGTAATAAAGAATTGTCTCTAAACCTGAAGAGTTCCATTTTGGAGGTTCCATTTTGACAATGTTTCCTTCACTACCATGAGCTTTTCAGTTGTTTCTATGGCTGGACAAAAACCATGATTACTCCCTGCTTTCCTTCTCTTCTCACTGCCTAGTAAGACTTCAGTGCTGGCTGCCTGTTCATACTTCTTAACCTGATATTTGGAGCCCGAAATAACCTAGCTATAAGCTTTCTTTCTGTTTCTCCATTTCGTAGCCTTCGTTAAAGCTATGTGCCTCTCAAGCTGCCCTTTGCCCTTCCCTCTGTCTACACTTTTATTCACAGTGGTACACCCACCAGTAAGGTCTTCCCCGTCTTCTCTATTCATGCTGAGCTCATCATAGCACTCTCCGTGAACATCTCAGCCCGTGCCCACTTGAAGTCAGAGCCAGTCCGTACCTGAGCTTTGACAGAAAGGATGACCTGAACAATCCATTGACTATTATGCATTGTGACATTGCTTCCATTGCTGTCTTAAATTATTCAAACACTTTACCATTACTTAACTTGCACTATATTTTTCCTTTTAAATGTCCACAGCACTTAGACAAGCCTTATGTGTAGTAGCCTCTGATCAAATGTGCAATGATATAAAGGCCATGATAGTTATTTGAAATATTAGTTTATTGATTAGAATACTAAGCAGCATTAGTATCACTTAAATGCATTTGTATTGTCCGAGTTTTTACTACTAATGTTCTTTGACGTCTCCAATTGTTAACTGGAAGAGTTCAAGTAAGAAAATTTGATGTCAAGGCTAGACCTTCTCAAAAACTAGTGAAGATAGACGGCATTTTTCTCAAATTTATACTGTAGTTTTCACCTCTTCACCAGTTTGGCATGAAGCAGGAAAATAGAAATCGGTACCTGTACTATGTTATAAAGGTTTAAAGGCTTTTTTTGGAGGCTAGATGGCACAAGAGCTGATTTCAGAAATCAAAGACCAAAGAAGTTAAAGTAGATGCCCCCAAAATCCAAAGATATATATTTATGTTTATAGTTTTTGAGTACTTACAAGAGAGAACAGCTTTCCTTAAGAATCATTGTGAGTTAATTAAATGCTTTTTTATTTAAATTCTTATTGTTTAAAGTATTACATAACTCTCCTTTTTCCCCCATTGACCTCTACCCAGCTGCTCCCACCCCCCCACCCCCAGCACATGCCCTCACCCCCCTACTGTCTGTGTCCGTTTGTTATGCTCATATGCATGCATACAAGTCCTTTGGTTGATCTCTTACCACCTGCTGCCTTCCTCTTAGGTTGAATAGTCTGTTCAATGCTTCTATGACTCTGGCTCTATAAGTTATGTAAAATTAATTGCATTTTCTATTTATTGGATCTCAAAACTGAAAAATCAGAAAAAAATTTAATATGTATAGCAGAAAATTATTTTTTGAAAAGCATTGACATATTCCCTTATGATATCTTTGTGGGGAAGAAACGGAAACATATGCATCACACTGAAGTTTTATCATATGCATAATCAACTTATTCAAATTCAACACTAAGCAAAAGAGAAAAATAAATTTAATGTGACAGATGGAGAGAAATACCAATTATCGGAGTGTGTTCAGCATTCTTCCTCGTGGTCTCACCTTTCATCATATATTTGGCATACACGTTCCTAAGGGATTTAATATACAATGTCCTAGATCTGATTACTTGAGCAATTCATTGACTATTATGCATCATTTAGGCAATATTCTAGAATAATTTTTGAATATATATGAATATCACATGAGTATAAAGTGTAGTTAACAGAAGATTTATATGCTTTTATTAGGAGACATTATCTCTGCATCTCTGTCATTTCTACAAGTCCCTCCTCCTCTCCCTAATATAGGTTTATTTATATTCCAGGGTAACAAAGACCATGTCCCTGGGAGAATGATGGGCACATTTGTCAGAAGCCCCTTATAGCACTGGGAATTTCCTGACCTGGGCGTTCCTGGGTATGATACAGATCCACCATGAAGAGCTTTCCACCTTGGTTCACTCCCCATCACCCCCAGTGAGAAGAGAGGTGAGGAACTGGTGTGAATACAAAGCTCATGACACCTGGTGTGGTTTATAATAAACCACCTAAGTCCATTGGGGGTCATTGTCTCCTACCCAATGGAATCTATGCAAACCTAACTAACCTAACTAAGAAGATGCCTGCTTCTTAAGGACAACTTCACCATTTGACAATTTGTAATTAAACCAGGTGCAAAATATTTTATTAATAGATTACAGTTTACCAAAATGCTAGTCTTTAGTGCTCTTCAGTTGCCCAACAATATTTAGAAACTACTTGAGTTATTTTAGGAAGGTACATTGAAGAGTTTGATAATGACAAGAACTGAAAAGGAGAACTAAATTATGGATAAAAAAATATATATAGAAGAACCCAGCAAGGTAGAATGGTTTAAAATCAGCAAAATGAACATTCATAGACATGTATGTAAAGTCCTAAATTTTATCTTAAAATATAGCTGCCAAGAAGAAAATACAAGAAGTTCAAATAAGTAATTCATATAAACACAAAAAAAAGAAAAGAAAAAGAAAAAATACCCCAGAGACTTGCATTTCCAAACAAAAAATTAAAATAACCAAAACTTTCTCTCCTGCTAGAAACAATTAGAAAACAGGACAAAACATAGAGAAATGACTATTTTCAGACACTGAACAACAGGCAGTACAGAACTGTGATCTTAAAAATGCAGAAAAACACTTTCTGCCTAAGGTAATCCTGAATGTGGGGCAAGGAGAGGGAACACAGTGCCCAACAATCTTGCTTGAGAGAGAAGCTGGAGTTTGGTGAGGCTGAAGCAGCTATAGCTGCAGGGGAAAATGCCCCAAATGAGGAACTTACACAGAGAAATAGCTCCAGAAATGTACGTGGGTGTCCCCTTGGCTCTTGGGTTGAAGATCATTCTACACGTGTATCAGGTAAAACCCAACAACGATGAACCAGAACAACTTTCAAGGAAAGGACTATTACCAGGAAGCTGTAAGACTGACAATTTGGAGCGGTCACCCAGAACTGGCATTACCCAAGTTCTCTCGAGGAGGAAGGGAGAGATTTTGTTGAACATGTAAGCCAGTAAGTAGAGACCCCTGAGGCCCAAACCTAAAAAGAAAAAGAAAAATGGAGTTAAATTAGCTCTACAATACCAGTGATTCAAAACCTACCTAAAAGATTTCAAAAGATTCAAATCAACCTTTTAATGCATATGTAATTTAACTGCCTGCCTCAAAATGAAAGGCCAGTATTCCTTAAAGAAGCACAACAGAATCCAGCACTTAACACTGTAAAATATAGAACAGTCAAATGTTCCACAGCCAACAGGCCCAGAACTAACAGGAACGATGAAAGAAGACATTAAATCACCAATTACAAATGTGTTCCATATACTCAAGGGCATAAAGAAAAACATAAATATAATTGCTAAGACAAATATGAACAATGTAGAAAATACCCATGTCAAATTTATTGATGAAAAAAATAAGCCCTAAAATAAAAATACACTAGGAAAGATTAACAACCAATTAAACACTGTATATGGGGGAAAAATCAAAGAACTTAAAGACATAGCAATAGAAACTGCACAAATGAAAGCTGTACAATTAGGAGAAATACTTTTAACAATAAACTATCGTGATCTGTGGGCAATAAAGTGGCTTCATACATGTGGAATTAGTCATAGAAAAGGGAACACAAAAATACTTTAAGAAGTAATGATCAGCCGAAACCGGTTTGGCTCAGTGGATGGAGCGTCGGCCTGCGGACTGAGGGGTCCCAGGTTTGATTCCGGTGGGGGGCATGTACCTGGGTTGCGGGCACATCCCCAGTGGGGGATGTGCAGGAGGCGGCTGGTCGATGTTTCTCTCTCATCGATGTTTCTGACTCTCTGTCTCTCTCCCTTCCTCTCTGTAAAAGATCAATAAAATATATAAAAAAAAAGAAGTAATGATCAAAATTTTTCCAAATGATAAAAATTGAAAGCCTACATTTCCAAGAAGCTTAACAGACCCTAAGCAGAGTAAACTCTAAAAATAAATATATCAATAAACATTATAACAAAATTTCTACAACCCAGCAGTAAAGAGAAAAACTTAAGAGAAGATAAAAAGAAAAGGTATGTTATGCACACAAAAAATATCATAAGGAAGAATGACAGCAGTTATATCAGAAATTACATACCAGAAGATAACAAAATAGTATATTTAAAAAAGTACTAAAAAGTGTCAACATAGAACCCTACAAAATGCCTGTTAGAATGAATATACAGCAAGATATGAGATTAAACAATGTTGACACACTTGGTCTAACCATAGAGAAACTCTCAACATACTTTAAAACATTAAAATCACGTGCATTGATCAAAGTCTCATTAAAATATGTATCTAGACAACCACAATATTTGAAAATTAAGAAATAGACTTCTACCTGCTGTACAACATTGTGTATATACTCAACTATACTGTATTGCACATTTATACATTTATTGAGTGTAAATCTCATGTTAAGTATTCTTACCACAATTTTTAAAAGAAACACAATTCTAAATAACCTCTGAATCAAAGGAGAGATTTAAAAAAAATAGAAAACACAGAACTAGGAAAACTTCCTCTTCTGGCCAATATATGGAATAATGGCTTAAAAGAATTGGAAAGCAGTCAGTGCAGGACTCTACCCCTAAGAGAAGGGGAGAACTAACCAGGTGAGCTGATGGTTGTACCAACTTAAAGCCGTAGTACGCAGAGGGCGAGCCAAGCAACCCAGCATTCTTACCAAGTGCAGGGGACAGTCTGCAGTCTGAGCAGTTGTAAAGGAGAAGTTGTAAAGCAGAAGAGAAGCAAAGAGAACGGGCTGTGCAGAGGGAGAGGACGCTGGAAACCAGCAGAGGTCTTTGCTGTGTACTGACCTGTACATGCATGAGAGGAAGCAACCTGCTGCTGTGGGAAGAACCGCCAGAAAGGAGGAAGCAGGACAATTGCAGGATTTCACACGGTGTGGAAAACAGTTTGTTTTTCATCAGCCAGCGTGGAAACACTACATAATAGGGAGGGTGGGGCAAAAGTAGGTTCACAGTTGTGAGTATGCAAAACACCGAGCTTATTCTTGTATTATTATCTATTAATTATCATGTTCTTTTCCATACAGCAATTGTAAAGCTCCTTTTGCCCCACCCTGTATAGGACATCAGGGAGAATCCTCAGTAGGACTAAATATCCCTCCACTACGGGCGGCTCTGGACCTGCCCTGACAATGTTTAAAAGCGGCCTCCAAAGGTTCCAATGGTTTCTAAGTAACTTCACTCTGCTACAGAGGAAAATAAAACACTTAAATGAAACAATAAAAATATAGCAACTAACAATGTAAAATTCACAAGGACCAACAATCAAAAAACTATCGCATGTGAAAAGATAGAAAAATAGCACCCATAACGAGGAGAAAATAATAGAAAATTCCCAAAATGACTCAAATGATGGAACAAAAGAAAAGTTTTATTATTTTAAGCTGAACTGTGGCTTTGAAGTTGAAGTTTTGTTTATGTTTTCGTTTTGGTTGAGGGCGGGGATAAAGAAGGGATTTTGTACTATGATAATCCAGGCAGAATGATTTGTGGTTTAAAACAAATGTCCCACTAAAAGCAATTAGAATTTATTTTAGGCTAAAACAGAAAAAGAAAATCATATTGAAATCTTAAAAATTCACATGGAATCTCAAGGGGCTTTGAATAAACAAAACAATCTTGAAACAGAACAAAGTTGGAGAACTCACGCTTCCTGATTTCATTGTGATAACGTGGTACAGACTTAGAGGCAGAATGTAGTCCAGTAGGAAAGGGACAGTCTGTTAAAAAATGGTATTGGGAAAACTGCATGTCCACATGCAAAAGAATAAAGTTGGAGCCTCCCTGTGCAACATTTACAAAAACAGACTCAAAATGGATTAAATACAAACATTAGAGCCAAAACTATAAAACACTTAGAATAAATCATAGAAGAAATCTTATGTAACTGGATTTTTTAAAATACTCTGGTTTCTCTTCAAACTATATAAATCTTTTGCCTTTTACAACTGGTTCTGTTTGGAATGGGACTATGCCGTTTCTATCATTATACTTTGGAAGTCTGTAAGGCGCTGTCTGGTTTCACAGTTTCACAGCTGGTGAGAGTGTTCTCCTCAGAATGCATCACACCTCACATCTCACCTACACCTTATGTAGAGGATACTTAGATGAGAGTTTGCACTCAGAGTTGCTGCAGGAATGGTTAAGACCTTTGGGGCTGGGGCTCACTCGTTTGTGGAAAATAATGAACAACATAAACTGATGAACAAAAATAGAACCAGAGTCACAGAAGCATTGAACAGACTGTCCAACCTATGAGGAAAGGCAGGGGGTGAGGGGATAAGAGATCAACCAAAGGACTTGTATGCATGCATATTAGCACAACCAATGGACACAGATGAGGGGGGGATGTGCTGGGGGAGGGGCGGGAGGGGAGAGGTCAAGGTGGGGGGGAAAGGAGACATATGTAATACTTTAAATAATAAAGAATTTAAATTTTAAAAAAGATATTTGGGGCTGTTGAAATGGGGCTATTATGAATATATTTTGCATGCAAGAAGAACTTGAATTTTGGGGAACCAAAGGACAGGATTATGGGCTGAATTTGTGCCCCCAAATTCATACATTAAATTCCAAGTCCCCATCCGTCAGAATGTGCCTATTTTTGGCGTAGGGTTTTTAAAGAGGTAATTGAGTTAAAATGAGGTATTAGGGTTGACTCTAACCCAGTGTGACTGGTGTCCTTATATGAAGAGGAAATTTGGCCACAGAAAGGCACAGAGGGAAGACACAAGGGGAAGATGGCCATCAGCCAGTCAAGCAGGGAGGCCTCAGAAGACACCAGCCCTGCTGACACCTTCGTCTTAGACTCCCAGGCTCCAGAACTGTGAAAAAATGAATGTCTGCTTTTAAGCCACCCAGTCTCTGGTACTTCGTTATGGGAGCCCTAGAAAACTAATTTCCCATATGATATTAGTTTATTAGCATATACCCCAAAAAAGTACAAAAGTACAAACAGGAACTTCAATAAATATTTGTTCTTGAAAATGCATGTGATATATATATATATAATAGTATATTATTCAGCCTTAATAAAGAAAGTTTGACACATGCTACCACATGGATGAACATAAAAGACATTATGCTAAGTGAAATAAGGCAGTCACTCAAAGACAAATATTATATAATTCCATTTACATGAGGTTCCTGGAGTGAATTCATAGAGGCAGGAAGCAGAATGGTGGTTGCCAGGGTCTGGGGGAGGGGAAGAATGGGGAGTTAGTGTTGATGGGCACAGAGTTGTAGTTGGGGAAGACAAAACACTTTCTGGAGATGGTTGGTGGTGAAGGGTGCACAACAGCATGAATGCACTTAATGCCATAGAACTGACACTTAAAAATGGTTAAAATGGTAAATGTTACATTATATTATCCCACAGTAACAAAATCAAGGAGAAATGAACACTTTTTTAGACTAACAAAATACGAGAAAACTCAGCAGCAGCATACCGGCAACCATAAGAGATGTTAAAGAAAGATGGAAATGTTACCAGTTCAGTATTGGCTCTACATTAACTAATGAGCACAGAAAAGGAAAAATATAAAGGTAAGTACAAAGGACATTTTTATCAGTTTTACCTTAGATCATAGATATTTGTTTAAAGTAAAAATAATGACAATGTTTTGGGGCGTTTATAGTGTATGCAGAAGTGAAATGTTTGAAAATAGCTCAAAGGACAGAAGGGGGAAGGTGAGTATATTCTGCTGTACATTTTACACCGTATGGGAAGTGGTATAGCATCACTTGAGAGTTAAACCCTAACTTTCAAATGATGCTGAAGTTAAATGCTGAAAAAATGAAACAAGGTATAGATAATAAAATAATTATTTTTTAAAAGTTCAGTTCTGCAGAAGGAGGGAAAAGGAACAAAGATTAAGAGAAGTAAACAAGAAAAGGCTAACTGGTAGATTTAAACTAAACCATTTTGATAATTATAGTAAACATACCTTACTTCAGCTCAGGTCTTCCTAAAAACAGACGCCAAAATGGGATAGTTGTTAAGAGACTTACTGGGGAACATGCTTGTGAAAGATCAAGGGGAGGTGGCTGAGGTAGTCTGGCAAAGGCTTCAGACCACAATATGACTCTTATATCTGTGGAAGAAGAGAAAGAAGGAAGGAGAATTGGGAAAGACAAGCCATGGCCATTGCACAGTTCTGAGAATGTCACAGCAGGCTAACGGAAGCTCACCAAGCAACAGTTTCCCATTAGAAGCAGGAATGTCCCAATACTTAGCAATCCCACTGTGCTGGGAACAGCCCAGGGGAAGCATGGTCCAGTGTGGACATCATGTCATATCTGATGTATAAATGGAGGTGTTTGTCTAACTATGCTTCCCACAGAAGGTTAGCTTACAGGGAGATTGAGCAGCAACTCCCCCAGAGCTCCACAGTCCATCTTTGCTGTGCACAGATCCACAGCCTAGACATTTTCGCGGGTTCACTGACCTCTCCTCCTGAGGAGAGGACACAGCTCCCATTGCTGCAGCTGGTCTCGGGACCACAGCAGGTATGATCATCTCCCTCCTCTATCATCCACTATGTTTCCCTCCCCTCAGCTAACGTCGAGGCAGGTCTCGGTGTCTTATCTGGTTGTGTAAACCAAACTTTCACTTCTGAAGGATCTAAGTCCATGAACATGATGTCATTCTCAAGGTTTACTGCACATGTGCGTATGTTCATTCACAGTTACAGCTGGGTAAGGGAGCAACAGGGGATCACCTGGGTACCATAAATGTTCCTTTCTACCCCCACTTTCTACTCTCGGGTCATTACTCCTACCAATATGATTACTCTTATTCTCACTCGTTGGCCCCTAAAGGACTCTAAAATTCCCTGGCAGCATGGATGGAACATAGTTCAATAAAATCTTATTGATACTAACCTAATAATAGTTTGTCCCCTTTGGGGACCAGAATCTCTAACCTGAAAGAGCCCATATTTGCAGGGATGGAAAACACAAACTCTCCTAATAGGATAGTAATTACACTCAATTTTTCCAGACACTTCAAACTATTTACAAAAATAAAAGCATCTTAATTTTTTTTTAAAGAGGGAGAGTCAGGTTATGTCACTCCTCTGCTCTGAACACTCCATTTCATTCTGAGCCCAGGCCAAAGTTTCCTACTAGACCTCCCTCCATTACCCTCCATTCATCTGCTACTGATGTTCCTCTCACTCCAGGCAGACTTCTGGCATAGAACCTTTGCACTGAACCTTTTCATTACCTGGAATGCTCTTCCCTCATTATTCCCATAACTCCCTCATCTCTTTAAGTCATTATTTCAAATAACACATATAACAAATAACCCTCAAAAAGACAAAGAGCCTGGTTGAAAGAAAATAGGCACACAAAGACCACAATGGAAAACCACTGCATCCCTACTGCACAGGCAAAAATCACAGTGTCTAACAATTTCAAATGTTGATAAGAAAGTGGAACAAGCCCTAACCGGTTTGCCTCCATGGATAGAGCGTCAGGCTGCGGACTGAGGGGTCCCGGGTTCGATTCCGGTCAAGGGCATGTACCTTGGTCATGGGCACATTCCCAGTAGGGAGTGTGCAGGAGGCAGCTGATCAATGTTTCTCTCTCATTGATGTTCCTAACTCTCTATCCCTCTTCCTTACTCTCTGTAAAAAAAAAAAAAAAATCAATAAAATATATTTTTAAAAAATGAAGTGGAACAATAGGAAGTCTCTCTTGGAAGTGAAAATTAATAAAATATTTTGAAGGTAGTTCAGCATTTTCTGGTAAAATTGAAGCTCTGTGATGAGCATTCCACCCCTACGTGTACACTTTACATCCAGTACATAGCCAGAACATAAGTACAATAGTGTTCATAGCAGCATCACTCAAAGTAGCCCCAAGCTAGAAATGATCCAAGGGCCTCAATA